TTTACTTTAGAATTGCATCAATCTTCTGTAACTCATGTAGATAATGTTCAGTTTTATTATAGAATTAACCTCAATATAGTTTTAAGCTCTCTTTCAAATTGAACAGCAATTATCAGTGTATCATGTGAAATTAATTTAGGCATATTCGCTTCATAATTTAGTCAATTTTCAGAGGGCTATTGCTTTGGAACAAGTAAAAAACCATCTCGGGAGGTTTTTAATATAGTAAACTACATGGTTTGAAGAGTATTTGCTCCAAATTTGGTGTTGATAAGTTTTGTCAAACATTGGATTCCAGTAATTTCAAAAAATAGGGCATGAACTGTTTCATAAATCTTAAAATTCTATAGTAGGGGGGTTTAAAGGGTAATTGGGAGGATTGTTTTAGGATATAAGTAAAAGCCAATTCCATATTTGGATCCTTATACTTGAATTAGGGGGATGGAAAGTCTTGGTGCAATTTCAATAAAATTTTGGAAAATTATGAAAATAATTACAATGGCATAGGGTATTTGTGAAAATCCAAAATGGCCACCATTAGTAATTTTTGACCAAATTTGGATAAAATTAAAATATTTCTATTTCCGAAAGGAGAAAGAATTTTGAAAAAAAATTGCAGGTATACTTAATCCATAGCTGGGTACCATCAGTTAAAAAATTGGCCAATTCTGTGATGTTGGGTGTCAAAATGGTTTTTTGCTTTGACCCACACCTGTTTGTGACCTGACTCTTATGTGCCATGTATCCCCTTTGCCTACAAGTTTATTTTTCATGGCTGCTGACCTACAAATGTCACCAGTTGGAGTGATTTGTACTGTTTGTCCACATACCACCTCATTCTCTCTATGTCCCCATTCCAGTTCTTCTTACCCAACACTTTATCAGACAGGAAAGGGGTTCAGTCCTTTTCTCTCATTCATCTGCTCGCTCACTCTCTCTCTCTGTCCAATCAAATTTCGATCTTGTATATGTTCTGTGAAGGTCTTGAAGGTTTTGTTGCCTGCACTTATACCTTTAGAGATACCAGACAACACTTTATTCTGGGCTATTTTTGAAGGTGAGGTATCTTCTGTGAGTCACATCTAATCAGATTTCTCTTTTCTATGCCCTTAAAAGCCCGGTCAAATTGCCCGCTGGAGGTCACTGTGTGGACTGGTATGTGGACGTCTTCCAATACCTTTATCTCACATTATTTGCCTGATAGTCTCTTTATCTCGGGGCTTTTGCCTACCCCCTGTAGCTATCTTAACTATTTTGGCTATATTATCCAGAGGGGTGAGAATTTGTATTTCTGCCTTTCAGGGTCCCTTACCTTGTTTTCATGGGATCCCACTCTGTGGTGAGTGTTGCCCAGATAGGTGTACTTTTATCAAATGAATTCTGCACTAGCAACCACTATTTAACTATAAATACTACCGATTGCAACAGGTTCTGTAGAAATGAGGTGTTCCATAAGACCATTTAGGGGCTCACCAGGTGGTATTGCTATACTACACTGGACTGCCATTCATGGATTATCATGAGTAAAGCTGAAGGGGATTATACCTGCCCCTGTCAATCATCAGATTGAATAAATTGGGGCTGGTTTGCTATTAAAAATTTAGGGAACTTGGTTCACCTATTGCACTGTTCCTCAGGACTCCCCAATATGCATTCCCCCACACCCCCAATTCTACAAGTGGAGCTAGGGAGTTTTTACAGAGGCTTTTCCACCAGAGTATTAGAATGAATTCTTCTACTCCTGGGGAAGAGGTCAAAGTTGGGGACCTCCTACCTTAATGTTTTCTCCCAGATTTCAGTAGCAGTGGCACCAGCCTATGCGGGGGGCCTACTTGTAATACTGGCTCAGATTTGATGCTTGGCTATCCAGTTGGGGCGCGCATGGAAGGAGGTCCACCATCTCCTCCTAATTTCAAATGCAGAGTGATCCCATCCTGGGTCCTTGGTTGAGCACTGTTGTTCCAGATCCTCCCCATAGTTCTGGGGGCAAGTGGAAGGCTCCTTGCCCACTCAATTGGGGAGTGAGGATAAGTGTTTTTAATTTCCAGCCTGGATGAGTTCTGTACAGTTGTTTGAGTAAGGCATACATGATCCCATCATTTTGAGCCTGGCATGTTGCCTTTCAGGCTTCTACTGGTGGAGGAGAAGGTTTGTCTGCTTCAGTGTTGCTTACTTTCTCGTTGTGATTCTGGTTGCAGTCCAATTGCCATAGCCACCAATGTGAGATAGAGGGACCAAGACTCCTTAATTCTACCCCTGAGTAGTGGAACCTTGGCCTTACCGGCCTACGTTGATCTGACTCATTTTATAAGCTGTACTATATCCTATAGATCATTTTACAGATGGTTCTGCTATGATTAGTGTCTGGCAAAAAGCTTCAGCAGATATTTCCTTTGCACCGTCTCAACCAACAATTGGTCCAGTTATCAATGCTATTTTCAAGTTTTGAACAACTCGACTTTCAAGATCTATGTATCTACAGATGTGCCGATGTTTCCATTTATCAATGTTA